CGGGTCAAAGAGGCGGGAGCCAAATCATGAAGCAAGGGTTTATCATTCTATGTCTTTCATTCCATCCTTATCTATCATCTACACCACAAATTCGTTGTGTTTTCATCTTCTACGATCAGAGTTCATTAGGTATTCGTTCCCTCTTTCTCACACTCATCAAACACACACAATACCTCTATCTTTCTCACTTGTTTATGATTTTCTTGTTTTAGGCATAAAACTTGATACAATCTGAAAATCTAATTTTGTAACTCATAAATTTATTAATTTTCATCTTTTAATATAAAAGGTTAGTTGTAATTTATTATTATTGTATTTATGTTGTGATTGTATATAATGTCTTTCAAGTGTTTGTTTAAATGCTTCAGTGAAATTTTGCATTAGGTTGCTCTGTTTTTTTTTAACAAATTACTCAGCTAGATGAACATGAATTTTGATATCAAAAATCCCGTATTATCTAAATAAATGTTTTTGTCCTCAAGTTTAGATTACCAATGTTATGAAATGAAAGGACTTATATCTATTTAATGGCATAAATGAATTGGATTTAGTGGCATTTATGAAGGTATTATAAATATCATTTGTGGCATAATAAGTGTCATTAAAAATCCAGATTATGGTATTTTTTAGATTGCAAGTCTTCTTTAATGGCACTTGATAGCGTCACGAATAGTATCTACCATGACATTAAAGTGTCACTGAAAAGTTTTAGTCTTGATGGTGTAATGACACTTATAAGTGTCACTAATTCTTTTTTTAGTGACGTGATAGTGCCACAAATAATATCTACCATGACATCAAAATGTCATTGAAAGTTTTTAACCATGATGGTGTCGTGGCACTAGTATCTACCGTGGCACGGATACATATGGCACTTGTTCAAAATGTCACAAGACTAAAAAATGTCATTAAACCAATAGTTTTGTGACACTTTCAAATGTCACTAAACTAAGAAAATGTTGTAATGTCGGTTAGTGTCAAATTTGTATAATATGAAATTGATATAAATAATTCATATAATGAAAAATTAGTTATACATTTTAATATTATTTTTACTAAAAGGTATCATGACATTTTTTAATCTCTTACATAATTATATCTAATTTATTACAAAGTATGTAAAACACGATTTTAACTTTAATATAAGTTTGTTTTGCTTTTAATTGAACTTAATGTATTTTTTTTGTCTATTATTTGAGTTAATCTACTAAAAAACATAATAATAAAATAATTTTTTTATAAATTAAGAAAATAAAATTAAGTTGAAATCAAATATTTTTATAAATAATTTCATTTAATAGAGATTAGTTTCATTAAATTTAACTTGTAAAGAAATTTTTAAATTTTTTTCATACATTTGATATTTTTTAGTTAATAGTGAATTTTTTTGATATAACACGATAACATGACACGAACCAAACACAGATCGAAAATGACAAGACATAATAATACGAAATAATAAACGGGTCAGATCAGTATTGAGATAATTTTGACATGAACATAAGATGACATAACATGAACACAATCCAACACGACATAATATCCATCTCTAAATATAATGAGAAATAGATCTTACTATGAAAAGGTATTTGGAATAACAGGACAAGAGAGTGATATTTAGGATTATTTTGGACATGATTTACAATATTTTTTTTTTGTTTATTACGAAAAAAATGTGTAAGAAAGTAAAGAATTAATGTAACTTAAATAAATCAATAAATCAATAGATAAAAATTTTGGATTAATTACCTCAAAGTCCTATCTACATATTTAGTAGTAGGTTAGGTCCTGTCAAAAAGTTTTTGAACCAATAAGTCTCATTTACAGGTAAAAAGACGTTTTGCCCTTTTAACCCAAACAAGTGTATATATAATAGCATTGCTGTTTAACTGGATCAACGTCAAAACTGAGAATGTTCTCAATTTCAAAATAGAGAATGATTTCAGTATATAATTATCAAAACTAAGAAATTTCTCAATTTTTTTTTTCTAAGTATGAATTGAGAATATTATCAATTTTAAAAAATTCTCAATTTTTTTCATGATTAAAATTGAGAATATTATAAACTGAGAATGCTCTCAAGTTCAAGACAGAGAATGATTTCAATTTATAATTATCAAAACTAAGAAATTTCTCAAATTTTTTTCTACTATTAACTGAGAATATTATCAGTTTTGAGAAATTTCTCAATTTTTTTCATGATTAAAATTGAGAATATTATCAATCTTCTCTCTCTCTTACATTTACCTTCTCCTCCTCCATCTACACTTTCCAGATCTAGAAATCTCCTAATCTAGTTCTAGATCTGGTATTTCAAACGACAAGTTTGAAATGCCTTGTCTCTGACGAGAACGGTTTTCAAAACAACATCATCGAGTTGCCACAATCACACCATCAACAAAACACTTTTGGTCATTCTGTTAATAGTATCATCATCGACGATGACGACCATCATCAATCAGACAAAAAAGAAGATGATGATGATCAAGTAGTAGAATGCCCTATCAGAAATAATGTTGCTATAAAAACTCCAAGTCTGGGGCAGCGGTGTACTCGAGAACGGCTACGACGTTTCCGTCTTTGCATGAGACGAATGATGTGAGCTATGGTGATTGAAAACTTTCTATGCTATGGAGTTTTGAGAGAGAGAGAGAGAGAGAGTCTGTTTGGTTATTGTCATTGGGGAGTGGGTGTAAAAGTAAGAGAGAGAGAATGAAGATAGCAATTGTTGGCAGCAATGGAGGAGATTTTGGAAGGGTAAATTGGTCTATTAAAAATTAATGAGACTTGAAGAAGCAAATAATTTTTTCTAGGACTTAATGGATTATAAGTTCATAAAATGAAACTTGTATGTAAATGTCCCATTGATTTTTTTACATGTTACCAAAAAAGTCTAAATATTGATATAATATAATATAAGGCTTTGTAAATTAAGTCAACCTTAACAATAGCAGAGCAAATTGGCAAGAGTCTCGTAAGTTTAATCCAAACGTAAAATAAACCAATTTGTGTTAGAATTTGAGGCTTGTGCATCAATCCTTAAAATCCATGCATAAATCTAAGGCCTCGAAACAAATTTTTTTAGTAATTTTTTTGACTTTTTAGCTAAAATATAATGTGAAAAAAATTAATATGTTTGGAATGATTTTTTACGAAAAGATGTACAAAAAGTAGAGAGTAAAATGAATCGTTAACTTTTTAATATAGGTTGTTAGTTTTTTGATTTTTTAGTGATTTTTTAAAATTTAAGTTAAAAAATAATGTTGGCAAACGAGTCCTAAGTCAAACCCTAAAGTCATGTTATTAGTGGAGTTAAAGTCTTTTAATCCAGTCATACTCATGTCAATTTTAATTAAGAGACTAAAGAATGAGATGCTCATTTAAATCTTACCACTGCATAACGCAGCTTGTCCTTCCCTTATGAAACTAAACAAAAAACAAAAGAAGAAAGAAAGGAAAGTTTCGAACTACACCAATCAGATCATACCTTGAAAAGGCTTTGGGGATCTATAAAAGCATTCCCAGCAATCCCCCCAAACCCACCCCTTACCTATATTTAAGGAGTTGAAATTGTTTTGTACACCTCCAGCAGAACCCCTAAACAATTCCCTAAACTAATATTTGCTACAGTATAGGGAGTCACTGTAACTCCCTTATATCTGAGTGAATTAATCAAAACTGTAACTCCCTTATATCTGAGTGAATTAATCAAAACTTGCTTGCCGATTGTCCACCCGGACGTCCAGCCGGTCGACCACCCCCTTCACTGCTCTTTACTCTGTCTATCCTCAACTAAACCAAATAATTGAAGCATATATTGTATAGATATACACAAATAGTGATAGATGGAGAGAGAGAACTTGAGTATATATATCAATTTGTCAAAGGACCTGGGTATATATATTTCAATTTGTCAAAGAACCTGTGAGACAGACCCTGGGTGAACACCATCCCAGTTCAGAAAATCGAAGAAGAAGATGAAAAAGTAAAAGAATAGGGAAAAAATATTTTAATAATATTTTAGGGAAAAAATAGGGAGTTTATTGGAAAAAGTAGATGAAAAAGTGATTCTTAAAATAGGGAATGAATTTTTTAATAATATTTTAGAGTAAAATTTAAGTAAGCTGCTGGAATGCTCTAATAATAGAAATTAAATATTCAACCAAGATGCAGCTTATATGCGACCTAACATTAAAAATGATCCAATCTCTCTCTTTCTCTCTCTCTAGAATATGATCTTTCTATCTAGCATAGTCCATGAAATAAAGATATGTTAACAAGACTAGTACACTGAGTTGAAGAAGAAGAAAGGGAAGTGATATGAGTTGTCATGTTTTTATGGTAAGTGACTAAACAACCACCATGAGCTCACATGCTATCCTTGTTTACATTATAAAAATGCCTTAATTTCACCATGACTCCACATTTCAACACCTCACTCATTTCTCTTCACTGCGAAGAAAAAATAATTGCCCCAAATCATTGTCAACTCTCAAGAGAAATGTTAATTATTCAGTAGTTTTAGAAAACAAACTTCGCATATTGAGATAGTGTTTTTAATCAATAAGAGCACTCTACCTAACTCACTTTGGTTGCTGTATAAGAAATAAGGTTATACTTCTGAATTTGTAAAAGCAGTAATCACAAAATGAGTAATTCTACCAGACTCTCCTCGGTCAGTTGGGTGAGGAATAAAGTCATGCTTCTGAATAAAAAAAATAGTAATTATAGAATTTAACAGAGTCAACTTAACTCACTTTAGTCTGTTGGATAAGAGATAAGATCAAACTTCTAAACCAATAAGAGCAGTAATCACAAAATGAGTAGAGTCTACTTAACTCACCTTGGTCTGTTAGATGGGAGACAAGGTCATCCCATCTATCCCTTTTTATGCTATCTCATTAGTCAAGAGCATCACGTACACATGTAACGATAATATTCTTGAACTACTGAATAATATTACCACAATAGAAGTTGAAAGTGCAAGTCAAAACATGTAATTCAATCACAGTAACAGAGTTTTGAGATAAAATCATATTAATGAGCTTAAATTTCACAAAGTTAAAATTATTCTCTTAACAAACACTTAAAAAACAAGCAAAAACTTGTGTAAATAACTCTTGAAGTTGAAGAGTGGCTGCTACTTACAAGCTGCAAGCAGCAAATGGAATTGGTGCCTGGGAAAACACTCAATTTATGTAAAGAATTAATGAATCTGTACACTCCTGATCAAATCTTTGATGAAAAACCAAGGCTAGGGCTAGGTTGATCAGTTAAGAGATCAAACCAAACAGAGGCTCATGCTTGTGATTTCTTGCAATTTCAAACCACCATGGTTTGAACCCAACTTGCTCAGTACTGCTCTCTTCTTCAACTGGAGCAGGCAAATTCAGATCAAGAACGTCTCGAATCTCTGGTACAGGTTTCTGAATTACAGTACTTTGGTTGCTTCCAACTAAGTGTGATCTCTTGTGACCCCCCAAAGCTTGGCCTGATGAGAAAACTTTGAAGCAAAATGGGCATTCATGTCCCTTGTTCTTCTTTGTCACAGGACTTGTCTCTATTGGGTCCTCATTTTTTAGGACTTTGATCAGCTTAGCATCAACAGTTGGGTCTGGTGAGATCTCTGTTTCTTCAATGCTGTTCTCGCCGCTGTCGATTTTCGAAGCAAAGCAGCCTTTGATCTTCTTGTGGCTGGCTCTGTGACCTCCCAGAGCTTGGTATGAGTGGAAAGTCTTGTTACATGTAGTACACTCAAATTTGCTTTTATTTTCCAAAGCCTTGTCCTTTTCTGTTTCCCAAACATCACCCAATTCAGGATTCAACAGATTGAGCCACTGCTTCTTGCTCTTCTTGGAATTCAATTTCTTCATCACATTCTCCCCCAATTCAGTCCCATCTTCCACTTTAGGCTTCTTGGTTTTGTCATTTCCAGACCCATCAACACAAACATCTGAAATTTTTAGTTTAGATTTAGACCCATTTCTTGAAACCCCAGAAGGACCAAATTCTGATTGTTTAGTGACAAAGTGTGAATTCTCAGAGCCCAAAATAGCAGGCTCTAACTTTCCATTTCTCAGCTTCTTAAACTTCACAGCCTCACTACCATCAGACCAAGAATTCTTAGCAATTCCATTGCTTCTAATAGATGATCCAACTTCATCAGAAGACTCAGCAACATAATTCAAACCACTACCCTTATTACCCACATCCCTAGAAAGCATAATCAAACACATAGCAACCTCTTCTTGCTCTTGCACATTCTCACAAACACATGATGACCCATTATTATTATTATTAGCAATAGACAAAGAAGAAGTTTCAGTGGCGATATACCTTGTCACTCTCCTTGATCTCTTCTTCCTATTAGGAGCCGCCACTGTCGATTCATTGTTAGCAGCACTGGTCCAAGAATCTTCCTCCACAGTGCTTGAAATTCTCTCAGAGTGACACTTCATGTGGCCAAACAAGGCTTTCCATGATTGAAAACCTTTACCACATTCTTTGCAGACCTTGTCATGTAGCAACAAATTAGTTTTTTCATTTGAATCTGCAAATCTACCAGTTTTCTTGGGGTTGTCTCTGAGGCCATAACTAACAGGAGTACCAATAGCTCCTCCGCCATTGTTGACTGATGAGAGCTTGCTTTTGTTGAGCTTTTTGTCTGTTTCAGCTGAGTTTATCACATGAGACCTCATGTGACCCCCCAAGGATCTACCACAGGGGAAGCTCTTGTTACACAATTTGCACACATGTTTAAGCTCTTGATCTTCTTCCATTGATTAGAAATAGAGAAGCAGAGATAGAAGAAGTAAAAGAAAGTTCAAATCTGATCACAGAATTTGAAAAGTTGTCAGGATTTAATCTCATCAAGAAATACAATTCAACAGAGAAACAAAGATCAATCAGGAGGAGTAAAAGAAAAGTTCAAATCTGATCACAAAATTTGAAAAGATGTCACAATTGTGATCTCATTCACACTTTATGACCCCAAAATGATAAGGAAACAGAGGAATATAAAGAAAATACAAGAACCCAGATCAAGAAACTGGATTAAAAGTTAAAATCTGAAGAGAAAATTCGAGTGGATCGAAAGTTTTCTGAGATACCCATCTCAGATTTCATTGAAAATTCAAGATTTGAGGTAGAGATTAGAGAAGAAGCAAAGGAAGAGAAGAGTGGTGAAGATGTTGAGTGACTTTGTTTTGTATTTCTCTTTCTCACTCACTACTAGTAGCTGTTGGGTAGTTGAAGTTTGAAGAAACGATCAAATTTGAAGAGATGGGTGTGTTACCTTTGTTGCTAATGATGGCAATGAACAAGCCAAACAAGAAAAATCAAAAAGTGAGAGAGGTTTACTCTCTCTCATCTCTCTTACTTTCTCTCTCTATACATTTATGCATACACTGTATTTGGAGGAGAAATCCATGCAGGAAGCAAAGAAGATGAAAAGAGGAGAGAGAGAGAGAGGAGCACGTGTACTCAGCTGAGGAAACTACGCCAAACACATCGAACGGTCCAGATTTGTCCAATTGGGCATCCCTATGGCTTAGGAAAACTAACTGCCATATGGCTCTCTCTCTCTCTCTCTCTCTCTCTCTCTCTAACTATTCTTTGCTTTGTCTTTGCTATTGTGGGGATCCCACAAACTTCTATATAGTGAAAGGTTCCACTCTATGGCCGTTATTCTTTTGGACTCTTTCTCTCTCTTCTTTTTTTGTATTTTAGATTTTTAAATTTGTTTTTAAGAAAGCTACTACATATGAAGATCCACAATTGTGATTTGTGATTGTATTCTCTCTCGATAATAGAATCAAAGTCATTGATCATGTAGTAAAAATTGGGGGTAAATTAATACTATACCTCACCAGAGTTATAGTCAGCGATATTTTATTTTGATTCTCGTAGTTTTAATTTAAATAATATAAATTTTATATTTTTAATTTTATTATAATGTAGTCATTTCATCATATATCGTTAATATTTTGAAAAATAAAAAATAAAAAAAAGTGAAAAACTATAAGGGTCAAAATAAAATTTAAAAGAAATTAGAAGGACCATTAGGCCTCGTTTGGGAACAGGCTAATTTAGTAATTTTTTGGCTATTTGGCTAAAATATGAGTTAAAAAAAACTAGTATGTTTGGAATGACTTTTTGAATTTTTACGAAAAGATGTGCAAAAAGTAAAGAGAAAAGAGAATCTTTGACTTTTTAGTATGGGTTGTTGTGCCTGTTTGGTGCAGCTTAAAAGCTGCTTATTTCAGCTTTCAGCTTAATTTAAGCTATTTTGATGTGTTTGGTTTAGCTTATAGCGTGTAACTTATAGTTTTTTGGAAGTCAGAAATTAGCTTATTCTTTGAGTAGGGCAGGAGATGCTTAATTTACAAGTCAGAAATCAGCTTATGTTCATAGTTATAAGTTATAAGCTGTTTAGGCATAAACTATAAGTACTTTCCCACAGCTCTACCAAACAGGGCCATTGGCTTTTTGACTAATTTAGTAACTTTTTGACTTTTTAGCTAAAATGGAGGGTTTCCAAACGAGGCCTTAGTATAATTTTTATTGATACCGGGAGTCCTTATAATTTGTTTTAAATTTTATTTTGATCCTTTTTGTTCTACGAATAAAGCTTGAGACCCCATCCCCAATGACCCCTGCCACATGGCATCGCGTGATTGGAAGGAAAGAAAAAAAATAAAAAAAATGTTTTTGGCCTATTGGAGGTGCCCCTGGGGTCCTAGCACCACTGTAGTTTTACACATGATATTCTTCCATTTTAAATTCTAACCATAATTGACGAAAGAATCACCCTACAACAAAATTAAAAATATATAATTTAAATTAAAACTACAGAGATTAAAGTACACTTTGATTAAACTTCGAGCATTAATGATATAATTTATCTCATGACAAATCTCTTCTAAATTATGTGTAGAGAGTTTTTATTTTATTTTTAAGCTTTCATTTGGAATATGAGTTGATATTTTGAGTTAAAAAATCTAGTTTGAGATGAATTTTTTTGACTTTTGTAAAAGAAAAAATAAAATAATTATGGTTTGAATATGACATTTTGTCTTATTGACTTTTTATTATTTATTTATTTATTTATTTATTTATTTATTTATTTTGACTAAAATAGTCAAAAAAAAAAACCCATACCAAACATAGCCTAAAATGTGTTTGGCACTTGTCTATGGGGTGCTAGCAAGTCTACATTTGAAGCGTTTTGATGGAGCAACGTTTTGGTGATCTTTATTATTCTTGTCTGCAATTCCAACTCTTTTATTATTCTTTCATCTTTTTTACTTGGATATTATTTTCCTATCTATTATTTTTTATCTTTTGGATTCAACTCTTTTATTATTTTCACTAATTTCATCTAGCATAAACTAACTAATCAAATCAACCATATAGATTTTCTACTTCCTTAATTAGAATTAGAGATCTATTAATCAAGTCAAATTTTCGGTTTCTTGGTGATTATGTGAGCTATTAATAGGTAAAATGTGACACAAATTTTCGATTTCTAAAAAGTGTTTATCCTCTTATTATATACACTCATAGCCACATAATTTTATTTTAAGATCATTTTTAACTTATATAAAAAGAGATCATATAATTGTGAATGTCAAAATAGTTTCGCTTACAAATTTTTTGTGACAGAAGATCACAGCCCAGTAAAAGAAGCTCTATAGTTTCCATATATAGGATAAATTATAAATATACTTCCTGAAATTTACTTAAAATATAAATTATCCCAGGATTGAAGTCGAGTGTGTGACATTCTATCATTAAGACAAATTGGCCCCGCTTCGGTGCTTATAGATATATGGTGTCTATCTCCCAGGATACAATGATCTACACAGATTATAGTAGCACTCCAAATAATCTTTACGGCGAACTAGAACATGTGTTCTATACTCTCAGAATTTTCTCTAAAACTAGTATGAAGAAGAACAATGCAAGAGAGCAAAAAAAGAAAGCAACGAGTGAGTTTCGGAATGTCCAAATGCTGAAAAACTTCTAGTATTTATAGGTATAGAAGTGACTGTCCGAAAAATTTTACCAGACAATAGCTAGAAAATGATACTAGAAATTATGAATATAGAAGAAGAACGGGACATTATAGTTATTTAAATAGAGGGTCTTTTGTTAGAGGAACATCAAATTATGCTGGTTTTATCCCTAGAGAGGAAGTATTCTTACGGGAAGTACCATTAAAGCCAATAAGTAATACATGGTATTTATTAGATATTGATTGTGCTACAAACACAAGTGAGGTAATAAAACCATGGAAAAGAGGTATGCACCATGTCTTAAATATCCATAGCAGCAGTTGGAGCGTGCAAAGTTTTCTAAATTATATTGAACATAGCCTTACGGGTATAGTAGCAAGCTGATATGACAATCTAAGAGAAAGTAACAAAGAAAAATTAACAACAGAAACTGCCCTAAAAGGAATGCTAAACATATTCGTAAAATATATTGAAGAAGAATTCATTGGAAAAGAGTGGGATGAAGATAAAAGAAAAAGAGAATGGGTCAGGAAATTAAGTAACATAGAAATATTTAATATGGAATATATGTTAATACTCCTATTATTATTATCAAATAGGTAGAAATAAAATTCATTTAACCATGTTTTTTCATAAATTACCATATCCTATAAATGTTAATATAGAAGAAAAATATGAAAAATGGTTAAAAGAATTAGGAGATGTCACAAGTGACACCGTAGGTCATAGAATTAAATATCTAAGAGAATGGGTAGAGTATGAATGCATGAAAATGAAGCAAAGAAGAAAAATGAAAAACAATAGTTACATTGCTGGCAAACATCTAATTCATGGGGATGTGGGCATTCAAGAAGAAAAACATATAATAAGAAAAAGAAAACATTTTATAAAAGAAAAAGTTTTAATAAGCAAAGAGAAGAACAATATAAAAGAAAATATTATAAAAAAAACCCTATAATTTCAACAAAAGAATAAGGTTTTTTAGAAAAAAATAATTATTGTCCAGAAGGAAAAAGATCTGTAAATGTTGGGTATGTAGAGAAATAGGCCACTTTGCTAATCAATGTAGAAATAAAAAGAATAATAAAATAATATAATCCTTAGGAAGTCTGGATTATGTAGAATTAGAGAAAGAAGAAGCATTAGAATTGACTCTAGAAAATAATAAAGGAGTAATAGAGTTAATTGAAGAAGAACTAGAAATAGAAGACTGAGAGGGTAAAAAGCGTAAATCTGGGCCGAGCTAGGACCGGGTGAAGGTGAGCCAAGCTGTGGGCTAAGTGGAGTAGGCTTCACTGTTGGGCCTAGTTAGCTCGGTCTTAAATAACTTAGATAGCCCAGTTGGAGTATGCCAAACCGAGGTACAGGAAGCTGAAGGGAAGAGCTGAGCTAGGTGAAGCTCGGTCGAATCTACCGCTTAAGCATGGCAATATTAGCTCGGTCGTTTTGTCATACCGAGCTACCCTCTTAAGTATGTGTTACCTCGGTTGTTTTGTCATATTACCGAGGTAAAACCATTTCACTTGGTTAAAGCAGTGATAAGGGTGTTAAGGGATAAGCATCGTATTTTAAAAATGTGATTCATAGGAGGACTCTACATTGAGGAGTAAGAGTCCTACTAGGATTATGTCACGCGGAATCTATAAAAGCTCATAACAGAACCTATGTACAGGTATCACAACTTTGATTCTCGAATACACAGAGCTTTTGTCTATTTGTCTAATTTGTTGACTTAGACATCGAAGAGGTATCCGGTACACACCCGCCGGCCAACTTACGTTTGTGTTTTCAGGGAGTAAAGCGATAACTTTTGGAAGAGTGCAAACTTGATCAACAGGATTATACGAGAAGATTATTTTGTGCTCGTACAATTGGCGTCGTCTATGGGAAGCAGACAAAGAACAAAACCTCTTCATCAAGTTCTCCTCTCTAGTTGAAAGCAATGGCGTAGGATGAAGACTTGCCGCAATCTGTTATTGATGGGCAAACCCCAGAGGGGGGTGAAAGGCGCGAAGGTTTACCTTCCATCCCATCCATGGCGGATTTAGAACCCCAGCGACGGAACTCCCAGAGGGATGCGAGGAAAAGACGGGGCACTAGCCCTCGTTGCTCTCAAAGTCCCGAAAGACAGAGGCGAAGGTTGGACCCTCAAGTTCTAGAGGATCGCGTTAAGGAACAAAATGAATTAATCAGGAAGATGGCGGTAGACATGGAGACGACGAAGCGCCAGATGAAGGGGAAAGGGATGGCAACAGAAGAGAAGCGCAAAGGCAACACACCCTCTCACCACTCAAAAGATCGTGACAGGCAGGTCACACCATCATAAGTAGAAAGCAGGAGCCTTAAAACAGGCGATACTTAATCAAGGATTGCCAGGACTCGTTACTCTAGGTCTGAGAGATCGAGGACTGAGAGGTCGTATACGTTGGAAAGCACTTATCGGCCCTTGCACACGCATCAAACGAC